TTGGCCCCATAATCTCCTTGATCAGAAAATTTGGGACACTACTGAGTTACATGATGTTACAGTACAAGTTCTCATATGTCCTGAGTCTTAAGTGACCTTGGAAGGCTAGGGCCAAAATGTTGGCTTTTCTTGCGGCCCTCCTTTTTCTCTAATTTTGGTCTGCAAACTTAGGTTGTTAACCCAGAAGAGAAACTTATTGTTATTGCCATATAACCTAGGCTGTTGAGCTTAACCTCACTGTCTGCATATCAAAACACCTTAGGCATAACATGGAACAGGTATTTTTCATCAAGTATTGATACGTTAAAGTTTAAGTCCCTACAGAATATGACAAAGAAAATTAAAATATATTTTAAAAATAGGAATAAAGAATTATATATGTTTACACATAAGTCCAGAAATCTAACCATATACAACATTGTTGTAGGACAGTCCCGCAACACTCCTTTTCTGTCTCTTGCCTGGCTAACTCTTCTTGTTAGTATTTCTTCTAGATTATTTTCCCTTTCTTTTTCTCTGCCAAGGTAATGGTTATTTTTATAATTCTCTTTATTTTCTTTCTACGTATTTAGTATAGGGTCTCAGGTCTACAGGGTCTCACTGCACAGATCAGACTCATAGTGGTCCTTCCTGTTTTTCAGCCTCCCTAGCACTGGGATTACAGGCTTGCGCCACCACACTGAATCTCAGTTGCCAACTCAGCATGCCTCAGGGGCAGGGCCAGCATGGAACGCTGGGGGATTATTCAACTTATTTTCATTTGTTGTTATAGAATTAGATAGTTATGTTTGCTTCTCATTTTTCTCTTTTGGAGTTATGTATGAGAAGAAAAGCAGACCGAGAAGTTATCTGTTATTTTAAATAAAGATTATGTGTCAGCCTTTAAATAGATTTTTTTTCCCAGCATCTTTCTGTGAGGCATTATACAAGGTATTTCCAGGTAGCAAACTTTAGAAAATAGACAATAAATTTTTCTGAAATATCTTTTTAATAATATTTTTGGGAAACTAAAGAATACTTTTTATTTTGCTTTTTAACAAGCTCTAAATTTTAGAATAGATTTTTAGGAGTGTGGGGGTTACCAGTACTTGAGCTCAGGACTTCATGCTTGCTAGACACGCACTGTACCACTGAGCTAAATCCCTGGCATTAGGAGAGTTTTATAATTACATAAAAGTTATATAGAGAAAGATCATAAACCCAATTTCTCAAATTATTAATGTTATATTACTGTTTCTTTTAATTAATGCTTACCTTTAGTAGTGATGACAAACCTTTTAGAGATGAGCACCCAAAGTGCAACCCAAAACCCGCTTACTATCACAAAGTGCCAACTCGGCAATTAAACCTAGATACTGAGGTTTTAGTTTAGAAGAAAAACAATTTATACATTAATATCTTTTGTCTTAAGAGGAAAACAGCCTGTGCGCCATAGATTCACCACTACTGCTTTAAAGAAGTGATGTAAGTTTTTAAAAATCTTTTTGGGGCCAGGGAGATAGCTCAGTAGAATAAGTGCTTGCCTGGCAAGTGCAAAGGCCTGAGTTCAATCCCCGGTTCTGGAAAAAAAAAAAATCTGTTTACTATTCAGTTACCATTTATTAAATATTCACTGCTGCCAAGCCTTGGACACAGAACTAGATACAGAGAAAAGGCAATCTCTGATTTCAAAACGCTCCCTCTAGAACATAGGGGAGTGAGTGTGATGTGCCGGGTGCTAGATAAGGCCGCGGGGAGGCGGCTGTGGGCTGGAGTGCAGAGCGTGGGAGAGATTCGAGGACACCTTCTACAGGAGACGGTGCCTGTGATAAAGATGAGCAAGGCAAAGAAAGAGACCTTTATAAAATACAGTATTCTGTTACAGATTTACAGAGTAAATTTGTGGCCAAAGAAAATGAAGTACAGAGTCTACATAGTAAACTTACAGATACCTTGGTATCAAAACAACAGTTGGAACAAAGATTAATGCAGTTAATGGAATCAGAGCAAAAAAGGGTGAACAAAGAAGAGTCTCTACAAATGCAAGTTCAGGTATCTGTTTTTCCTTCTTTTGAAACACTAGAAATCAGATATGTGTGCCGAAAAAGGGAGACCAGAATATACCGAATCCTAATTCTGGAGTGGTAGTGAGTACCTGCTGCTTCATCTTTTGGGCATGTATCGTATGTAGTGTGTTGTGTCTTAGGCTCCTTGTAGTTTAGAAACAAGACATTCCTTAATTTGCACCTTATAAATTAATTAACGTAGAATAGAATACCGAATCATTGTTTCAAATAATGCCTTTTGGAATCTAAGAGTGCCTTTTTAAAGATAAACAGAACCTGAGTCATATATTTACGTATGTTGGGACCTTTCTTCATACCACACTTTCTTCCTCTCTTTGTTTGGTCTTTATCAAAGGATATTTTGGAGCAGAATGAAGCCTTGAAAGTACAAATTCAGCAGTTTCATTCCCAGATAGCAGCCCAGGTAATAGTGCATTTTTCTTGTTTGTTATTGATACTAGCTTGTGAAACCAGACATGATGGAGCACACCTGTAACCCTAGCACTTGTGAGGCTGAAGCAGGAAGAATACTGCAAGTGTAAGGCCAGCCTCAGCTACCTAGTGGGCTCAAGGCCAGCCTAAACTGTATAGTGTGAAACTGTCTCAAAAAGTATTAATAACAATAATAACTGCAAGCCATGTAGTCATCAGAGTGCCTGTTGAATGCTGAGCACCGGATGAGTAGTTAGAACACTAGGTAGTGAATTAAGAAGTGATGATCCTGAATGCTGGATGTTCAGGATTGTAGGTAGTGCTGTGGGAAAACTCCAGTGAAACTCAAATCCAACTAAGTGGAAAGGAGGAAGTTAGAAAGCTCTTCTCAGGAAAATAAGTTCAGGTATCTGTTTTTCCTTCTTTTGAAACACTAGAGAATCAGATATGATTCTGAACTGGGAAAACCCAGTCCTGTCGCAGAACGGCAGAAATTGGATAAATAGTGTCTGGGACAGTGGTTTAAGTATTAAAGGTATTTGCACACTACTGACTAATCATGGAAAACTTCATATATCCACATGTAGTAGCAATGTGTGAATCATAGCTCACAGAATATATTCACAAAAGAATCAAATTTAAAATTTATTCTTTGACACAGTTAGTGGTGTTTGAAAGTTTTTTTAATGGTAGTGTAAAATCTATTAATTTGGACAACATTATTCTGTCATGATTGGTAAGTAGGCCTTAAAATATAAACGCTACAACATGAAGGAAAAAGGAAAAGCTTCCAAGTACATTTCTAAAATATATATATATATACTATAAATTTCAATTCAACTGTACAATTATTTGTAGCAAAAAGTATTAAGTTTTGACTTTTCAGTGTAAAAAATGGTTTTAACATTAGAAGCCTGTTTTTAAGGTTCACACACGTATAAATTCCCAAAGCATGTAAATGTAATTTTTTTCTAGTTGCTTTTTTTCTAGAAATCATAGTCTGTAATTAGTGAAGAACTATTTAATATAAGGAAGGAGGCTCTAGGTTTGTGTGTTTTCTGTGAATGTCAGCTCAAATTGGATTGAAATCTTTAGTTACCAGCTGAGAGGTAGCTCTAGAAAATTTATCAAAAATTAAATATTTAGAGAATGTGTGAGTACTTCTTAAAAAGTAAAGATGAACATGAGTATTACCAGATTACTTATCTTAATCATAAAGTGAATTCTATTGAAAGTTGATGCTAAATAAGAGAAGTATAGCAGTGAAAGTTGGCCATTATGGCTGTTGTTTTCTATTTGTTCCTTGTCATTTATGTAGTTTTCAATCCTATCAAATTGTTTCATTCTATGTCTCATGATACATGATCGAACATGCTTTCATAATTGTAGCTACTCTATTTTGAACAGTTACCATGGGTTAAAAACTATATACAGAAATTTTTCTTAACGCTCTTATGGTGGTTATTGTACAGCTGTTGACAATGTTTTTCTTTCTTAGACATCGGCTTCAGTTCTAGCAGAAGAATTACATAAAGTGTAAGCCTACCTTTCCAAACTTCTTTTGCAGTTAAAGTAGTTACCACTAACTGATACGTCTTAGATACCTATAAAGGATTGAATTTATACTCTTACTTACTTGGAAAATACTCCATACTGGATTTGGAGAAACTTTCACTCTTTTGTTTTTACCCCCTGTTGTGTATTAGATCCCTAACCATTACATTTTTTGTTTTAATGTCTTCATCATAAAATGAATGGGCATAGGGTCAGGGAGCTAGCTCAGCGACCTAAGTACCTGCCTGGCAAGTATAAGGTCCCGAGTTCGATCTCTGGTACTGCAAAATAAATAAAATGAGTGGGTGAAGCTTTTCACTTGGAATGTTGGCAGTTATGTAAAAAAGGTGGTTCTGTTTGGGCAGTATTGGAAGTAAATTAATTTTTGTTTCTAATTTGCAGCTGCAGCTACTCTTTAGCTATCTGATAATATACACAAAACAAAATTCAATGTTTTATTTTGTAAAATTTTAGATAGATACAGGTTACTTGAATTCAGAGCACCTAAAATCTTGTTTTTAACTTTAGCAGACTTGTGAACTTGAACAAATTAACCTGAGGGTAAATTTTTTTTTTTTTGGCGGAACCGGGGATTGAACTCATCCTTGCGTTTGCCAGTCAAGCACTTATCCTACTGAGCCATCTCCCTGGCCCCCTGAGGGTAAATTTTAAAATTAGGAAGATATATATATATATGAAGTTACAGTAATTACAAAACAGTTATGGGTAAACTTAAAAGAGACTGTAGAAATGGAAAGTATGATTATATAAGAAACTACTTAAAGATGACCCTGTTTAAGGATTTTAATCCTTTGATTTGTATTTTGACTTAATAAATTTTGATTGCATATACAAATTTATTTGCTTTTAAAGGATTGCAGAAAAAGATAAACAGATCAAACAGACTGAAGATTCCCTAGCAAGTGAACATGATCATTTAACAAGTAAAGAAGAGGAACTTAAGGTCAGTAATTATTATACAAATATTTTGTAGGACTTGACGTTGAATTATCATAATGTCTATAATCAGCGTTCGTTTATAAGAAAAATGGAAAATACTCTAGAACTCATTTGAAAAATGCCTTTCTCTTTTCTGAACTATAAAATCCTCTTTAGCTCTCTAAGAGGAAAAAGTCAAAAGGCTTTTCTCAGATATTATTCCCAACAATTTGATAAATATGCTAAATATCAGGAATTGACAGTTTCTCTTACTGATTAAGGCCATTTATTATTTGAGACCATTGCTTAACTCTTAGTAAAGGACAGATGCCTTATACTCCTTAAGGTCAGTTATCTTAAATATTCTAATATAGAACTCTGTTTCATTGGTCTAGGATATACAGAATATGAATTTCTTATTAAAAGCTGAGGTGCAGAAATTACAGGCTCTGGCAAACGAGCAGGTAGGTCTTTATTGCTTTTTTGTGTTTATTTGAGAATTTTAATTTGTCTATTTCATTTTTATTCATATTTTGAGCCCCAGTTTTATTCATGTGAATAATAAATTAGTTTGTGGTTGGCTGTGTGATGTGTGGAAAACCACTTTAGAACCTCTGTTATGACGATTTCATATTGAAGTTATGTTTGATCTGATGGATTATTTCTGAGCTGTCAGAGGAGTGAGTTAAAACAATTTTAATGTCACTTGCCACTTAATCTAAAAAGCAAAGAAAGACTTTTTTATTAGGATAAAAATTGACCTATGAACATTACAGACTTATATGATATTACTATAACCTTTTTCCAAGTATAAGAAAGTATAAAAATAAATGAGGGCTGGCTGGATAGTTCAGTGGACTGGGGTTTGATACCCAACGTGCTGTGCCGTCCCCGCCCCTGGGCACACTGAGATGGCGACTGAGACTGGGCATGGTGGCACAAGCCTGTAATCCCAGTGCTTAGGAGGCTTAAAACAGGAGAATCACTATGAATATGATCTGTGTAGTGAGACCCTGTCGACCCTGTACTAAAAATACATTAAATAAACAAAAAAAAAAAAAAAAAGAAATGAAAGATTGGAGTGCTTCCTGAAAAGATACATTTTCATTTATTCCAAACAGGCTGTTGCAGCACATGAACTGGAGAAGATACAAAAAAGGTGATTTAAATATGTTGTAAATAGAGACATTGATAAATTATGTTTAAGTATAACTCTGCAGAAAATATTGCTGGTTAAAATTAGTGGATGAGCACGTGGTTTAAACTATTTGAATGTAAGAAATGTTTTTAATTGATGCTTTTTTCTCATAGCATTCATGTTAAGGATGATAAAATAAGGTTGCTTGAAGATAAGTTACAGTGTGAAATTTCAAACAAATTGGAGGAATTTAAGGTACGTGCTTGTTTATACACTCCACTTTCTTAGAATGAGCTTAGGATTTTCAGTTGTAACGAATGAGGAAATACTGTTTTGAAGCAGTATTTCTGTAGTTTATTTGGACACTTACGCAAATAGTGAATTTTGTCATAAACTTCCTCGGTTTCGACTTACCTGGTGTTTTAACGTTCCCGGTTTACTTTGCCCCAACTTTTCCTTGGCAGTCTCTGCTGGTGTTCATATTTGTGGCTGTTGTTGTCTGTCTTGTTGTAGTGCAAGTCTTGCTCATGGCCAGCCCGGTTTGAGTGTCTGACTGGCAAGCACCTCTGCCCCAAAACAAATGGGAACTCTTTTTTGTTTTTGGTGGAACTGGGGATGGAACCCAGGCCCTTGCGCTCACCAGAGAAGCACTTATTCCACTGAGCCATCTCCCCAGCCCCAAAATGTGAATTCTTACGTCAGTATGTAATTCACTTGTTACAGTGAAAATAATATTATGGATTTGATTTAAAAATTCAGAGAATTGCTTTTATTGCCGTGTTTCTTTTAAAGAATCATAGTAAATTAATTTTTTTTTCCTTTCAGATTGTAAATGACCAAAACAAAGCATTAAAATTGGAAGTTCAAAGGCTACAGACTCTTATTTCTGAGCAGGTAAAACTTTTCATGA